CCTAGATGGGTGGTCAGGTAACCTAGCAATGCCTACTCATTTTGCTAAGTTCCCAAGCATGGAGACAAGGGATTTAGGGTGAGCCTATTATCACCCAAAACAGAGACAATGAATATTACCTTTTTGGGGATTCCTTTCTGGTCCGGGAATTACTTTTTATTCTTAGCCTACACTACTTATCTCTGAAGATTGCAACTCATTTAGCATCTAAAGAAAGGGAGGGTGGAAAGAATGTAGGTATAGTATACATTCAACTATTTACTCCCTGGTTCTGAATCTATCATATATATGGTATATTTGTTATATATGTATATTACATACATATCATTTTTTTGTACACTGGGAATTGAACTCAGGGGCTCCTGCTTCCTAGGTAAACATTCTACCACTTGAGCCATGCTCCCCACTTTCCTTTTGCTTTCAGCTTGTTTTTTCAGATAGGGTCTTTTTTTTCAGATAGAGCTTTTTGCTCAGGCTGGCTTGGACTGAGAAGCTCCTACCTCTGCCTCCTGAATAGTGCGACTACATGTATGCAGCCCCTTGCCTCGCCTTAAGTACTTTATGATTTTTAAGATGATTTTCCTGTCACATTAGAGTCATACCTATCCTGCCTCTTTACCAACAGATTAGTGGACTCTCATGGGGAGCTAGAGGTCCTGTTCCCTTACTCAGAATTTCACCAAGAGAACACACATCTCAGTGATGCTCTTTACCCTCTAAGGCTAGGGCCTGGGAGTTACACAGGAGAGGAGCTAATTGCAAGGACACACAGATACATGAATACCCAGGATACTGTGTGTGTTCCGTTCACTTACACTCTTCCAACTCTGCTCACAGCCTTGGCTGAAGTGAAGTCACATGCAGTCATTTGAAGTCATACACAGATCAAGAAGCTGCCCCCTGCCGACCTCCCAGACACGGTTACTGGACAAGAAGCGAGCAACTCTCCAAGCCAAGTTAATTTCATAGGCTGGCCAGCCACCCGTGACATGGTGTGCTACGGGTCAGTGCAATGTGATAAGCTGTATCAATCAGATCCTCTATTATAGGAATTTGAATTGGTAACTGGACATGTGGTTCAAGCAGTAGAGGACCTGCCTACCAAGTGCAAAGCCCCAAGTTCAAACCCTGATACTGCAAAAAAGAAAGAAAAAGAAAAAAGAATTTGAATTGAGAAATACAGAGAAATAAAGCAATTCATAATTGGAGTTGAAGTCAAAGTCAAAGTCAAGGTTGAACAGTGGTGGGTAGTGGGAGGAGAGGTAGGATAAAGCAGAAATGTGAGGAAGCAGAAGCTCTGAGTAAAACAGAAGCAGTTGGAAGAAAGATAGGCAGTGTTTTGCTTTAATACATAAACTCATTCCTGAACTTGTGTTTTAAATGTAGAAACCAAAGTTGTGTGGCCCCTCACACTGCCTGCCTCTCACACCACATTCTGTACCTTTCTTCTCTTGTGCACCAGGATTTAGCCAGATAGCCTTAATTTCACTTTTTTGAACAAGCCCCACCCATACCAGGCCAGTGAATATGCTGTTCTTTCTATCTGGAATAGTCTACTGCCCAGACACCTGTGAGTCCATCACCAGGACTGCAGCATTCTTCAGAGGCACCAGCTCCAGCCACAAGTGCTTATTTCTCCCAGCAGCAAACTGGCACCTAGTGGATGCTCAGTAAATGTGAAGTTTAATAAGTGAATGGATAAGTAAGCACAGATGCTCAATCACCATCTGTGTAACAGTCCCCTCAGAGACTGAAAGTTTGCCATGCAGACTTGTACACACTCCTAGTTCTGGTGATATCTTTTTCTTTTTGTTCATTTCTGGAAGGGTAGCTGCCTCCTATAGACAATATTTTCTGGAGAACATAAGCATTCTCCTTTACTGTCCAACCACAGTGTAACCAGTTCCTTGTATAAAACCCTTTCTGTTGAAATACCTGTCATGATTTCTGTCCTCTAGCTGGACCATGACTGATTACAGTGCTTGGTACTAGAAGTGTTTCAGAGCCGGGGCTGCTAAGATTGGGATTCCTGAAGTCTTGGACTTCAGATGTAGTTAGTGATGCTTAGTTGTCATTGGAGGAATCTATACTAATCTATTTATGTTGGTGGTTGTAGGTTTGAGTTCACCACCTACAGATGCTTAGGTTGATGTACTCACGGGAGGCAAGCTCTGGAAGACCAAATGTCTTCTGCCTTTTTACCGTTTGGAAATGATGTGGACTACCTGGACCGTGAAGAGTGTTGGGGATTTCTGACTGCTCTGAAGAGCTGAGAAGGAAAACGAGTAAGCATGGGGTTTCACATTCACAGCTTGAGTCACTCAGGACAGGTAACAGAGAGGTCTGTTTGGCCTGCAAAGGACCTGTTGTTTCTTTCTTTTTTCCCTTTGTGTTGCTGGTTGTCATGAGCAAGCACCACCACTCTGGCTCTCTGTATTGTCTTTCAATAAGGCTTTATAATTTTACCCATAAAATGGTACTGGGGTTTGAACTCAGGGCTTTGCGCTTGACAGGCAAGTGCTCTAACATTTGAGCCATGCCTCCAGTCTTTTTTCCTCTGTTTGTTTCAGAGACAGAGTCTCACTTTTTGCCTGGGATGGCCTGGACTGTGGTCCTCCCCATCTTACCCTCCCACATAGCTAGAATGACAGGCACGCACCACTGCTCCCAGCTATGGTTGAGAGAGGGGTCTCATGAACTTTGTGTCTAGGCTGGCCCTAACTCAGAGCCTCCTGATCTCAGCCTCCCAAGTAACTGGAATTACAGGTGTGAGCCAGCAGCCCAACTAATTTTTCTTATAAATTCTTGAACATGGCTTGCATGAAACATTTATAGGAATTTGGAAGCAGTTTTCTTTGGCTGTTGGCAGGTGACTGTGAGAAGCTTCAATTTGATTTCTTTGTGTTTATGCTACTTTGTAGTTCACTAAATATCTTGAGTCTGTGGATTGATAAATTCAACAATTTTGGAATAATTTCAGCTGTTATCTTTTACAGTATTTCTTCTTCCTTATCCCCCTCTCTTCTGAGACTCAACTTACCTATATGTTCAACTGTTCGATTCTGTACCACCAGTCTCTAGTACTTTGTACTGTTTATTTTTGTATTCTTTGTCTCCCTGTGATTTGATTTGTTTATTACCTACTGATCTGTTCTTTGAGTTCTCTAATTCTTTCCTCTACTGTACAGTGTGCTGTTGAGCACATCCAGTGCATTCTGAACTTTAGATATTGTAACTTTTTTGTTTAGATCACCCAATTTGTTCTTTGTTTTGCTACTTGAGGTAGACTGATCCATGATGACCTCCTATGAATCATGACTGCTACTACTCATGCCTTGTGTAGCCCTCTTTGACATCAGCCCTGGGTCATATGACTTGCTTTGGCTAATGGAACTTTCACAAACAGTACAAACAGACGTTTGATAAATGCCGCACATTGAGGCTTATCCTCTTGAACCCAGCCATTGTGTAAGATGCTAAGGTTAACTTCCTTGAGACACAGAGGCCGTTTGCAGGAAGATGGAGTCATGTGTGTGACCCCATGTGAGAATATCAGAAGAACCACTTAATCGCTTCACAGAACAGTGAGAAACAATGAATAGTGTTATTTTAATCCACTAAATTTTGGAGTGTTTTTGTAGTGTCGTAATAGAAAACTATTTTTCTATTATGTATTAGTTTAAATTCTTTATCCTTTAATCTATTTTATCAATCTTGTAATTTTTTAAACTTACTTATCATAGTTACTTTAAAATTTTCTGTTAATTGTAGCAAGTGTACCTAGAGTGTTTTTTTTTTTTTTTTGATGGGACTGAGGTTTGAACTCAGGGCTTTGTGCTCTGCAAAGCAGGCACTCTACCACTTGAGCCACCGTCCAATCTGTTGTGCTCTGGTTATTCTGAAGATAGGGTCTCTGTAACTATTTGCCAGGACTGGCCTTGATCTCCTGATCTCAGCCCCAAGTAGCTAGGATTACAGGTGTGAGTCATGCACCTGGTGAACTTATTTTTTTTTAATTATTTTTATTTTGATCATGGATCACATTTTCCTGCTCTGTATGTCTTATAATTTTTAAAATTGTACATATGCCAGAAATCTCAGTTAAAAGAACATGTATAGTCTAGAGTAAGTATTTCTCCCAGGGAGAGCATGCATACCTTTCTTCTGCTGGAATCTGCTTGTTGATGTACTTCTGAAATCCAAGACAAGAAAACGTACTTACTTTTTGTTGTATAAGAGCTAGGCTCTGGTGGTCCATAATCATAGCTACTCAGGAGACAGAGATCGGGAGGATCGATGTTTGAAGTCAGCCAGGGCAAATAGTTCCTGAGACCCCCATCTTGAAAATACCCATCACAAAAAAGGGGCTGGTGGAGTGGCTCAAGTGGTAGAGCTCATGCCTAGCAAGGATGAGGCCCCAAGTTCAAACCCCAGTACCACCGCAAAAAAGTACTTACTTCTTGTGTAAGGAAAGTCTTGGGATTTCAAAGTAATGATTTACTAGATAATGAATTTACAGAGATTAATAATATAATCAGAGATAGTTTGTATGAAACAGCAGAATTAAGAACAACTGGAGTTAATCTCTGAAAATAATATACTTATACCTTAAGCCTTTTACCTTAAAAATTCTAAAACCACAAGAGAACATAAGCATATCCTTTGTTAGCTGCCAGAACAATTATGTCACCATATGTCTAGTAGATTCCAGAAAATTCCAGTATATACCTATGAGAGACTGAGATTGAAAAAGGCAATGAGGACTGGCTCTCTGTGGCTCAAGCAGTAGAGTGCCTGCTTTGCAAATGGGAAGCCCTGAGTTTAAACCCCAATTCCACACAGACACACACACACAAAAGGCAAATGATGTCCTATTATGAAATTAGCTTGGACTTCCTGCACTACTAAAGGAGATTTTCTGAGAACTGCGGGGGTAGAGGAGCACACAGATGCAGACATTAGCCAGAGGTGTTTATTGACAGCTCAGGAATCTGCTGGGTTCATCTGTATTTTCCTGGCTGCAGGCTTCCTGGCACTGCAAATTGCCATGGTCTTTCTTTTGGCTGGTACTTGGGCTTCACGCAGCACAGTTTACCATTTGTGCAGTAAACATAGACCCTGGCATTCCTGGAGCATCTTTTGTTGCATTTGCCACGAAGATTCCAGCATCTTTGGGTGTCCCCTGAAACAAAGGACAAAGAAGGAAGAACGTTGGTTCTAAGAAGGGGTGGGCTCTGGATTTAAAAGAATTAAAATAGCTGTGATGGAGGCCCCCAGTTTCCCGTGCCTGTGATCTCTACACCTGTTATTATTTTCCCTTTACCCTGTTTTTTGCTACCTACCATACCCATGAATCTAGACTAAGTGACAAACCAGGGACCATTAAAAAACTTCTCTTGAAAGAGCTGTTCTGATAGTCATTGGTTTGGGATTGTACCAAACAACCCCAAGCAAAGAGACAGGACAAATGGCAATGGTGTCCAACCATCACAGTCACAAGTTGTGCAGCAAGGAAGATAGAATCTGTGTCCTGAGGTGAACCAAGGGACACTCACTCTATTCTTGCTATAAATACTCCAATCCTGCTATGGTTGAAAGCGTCTTTGGTGTACATGAGCTGATAAAGAAATCCTTTTTCTATTTAAGTCATTGAAGTGACTTTTGAGGAAAATGTCTAACTTGGAAGGGATACAAAAACAAATAATCTCAACAGATAATATTTTAAGCAAAATAGAAGCCGAAAAAAGAGGAAAGATGGACAAATGCAGGACTTTTTTTAGGCTAAGATGGAGTGGCAGGAGCCATATTTACTTTCTACTTTAAACAACATGTGTAAGAAACAACCATTTTCAAACATTGGGAAGCACGTAGCACAGACTGTGACCATCCCTGGAAGGGAAACAGCGAGGGGAGTCCTGTGGTTGCACCCGTTTATACTTGAAAGCAGTTTCTGGGATATAGTGCAAGGAAGAGGAACACACAGTGCTTTTACTATGTGAAGAGACAGAAATTGAAGTTCATGAAATTGAACGGGGCGGGGAGAAGGGGAGAGAGAGGGAAGGAGGTAAAGTGTGCTGTGGATATCCATGGAGGGCTTCTCTCTTGTCTTTGCATACTCTTCCAAAGGAAACTTCCAAAAGCCTGGGGAAGACCCACCAAAAAGAAGCAGGCAGAACAACTCTCACTGACTGCACAGGGCTGGCTGGGGCTATTTGTGTGCCCGCCTACCAGGGTGGAAAGGCCTTGTAAAATCTGCAGCATTTGGTTCTCAAAGGCTCTTGCCTTAGGAGTGGACCAATTTAGCCTTAGTCTACAGGATGTCCTGTACACATCTTACAGAAGCTTAGAAGTCAGTTTTGACAATATTCATCTGATTTCAAGTAACCTAACGCATGCCAGAGTAAAATCTAACACTCTGTAAAGGACTATAACAAAATACAGCAACCAAAAATATAAAACCTACAGTCACAGCAGCCAGATAAATTTGTAGACACACCAAAAAAAAAAAAAAAAGGCAAGAAAATATCTCCCATAACCAGAAGACAATCAATCAACTGACCCAGAATTAACAAAGATGATGGAACCAGCAGACAAGCATTATAGCTATGCTCCATGTGCTGAAAAAAAGATAGAGGAAAACATGAGCATCACAAGAAATAAAGGTGTAAAAAAATCCACATGGAAATGCTTGATATGATACATTGCATATTAAGTTAAAACATGCATAGTGAGATTAGGAGCAGATAAGAGTGAAGAAGAAAAGATAATGAACTTGAAGGTACAGCAACCGAAACTACCTAAAATGAAACAGGGAGAGAATGAGAATGAGAGCGAGAGCGAGCGAGAGAGAATAAGAACAGCATCAGTGGGAGTACCAAAAGGAGAAGAGAGGGTTAGGGCAGCAAAAGTATGAAAAACATCAAGTTTAGCCAGTTGCCTGTGGCTCAAGCCCATAATCCTAGCTACCAGGGAGGCTGAGGCTGAGATGGGGAGCATTGAGGCACCAGGCCAGCCCAGGCAAATAGTTCAAGAGACCACATCCCCAAAACAACCAGAGCAAAATGGACTGGAGGCTCAAGCAGTAGAGTACCTGCCTTGCAAGTGTGAAGCCCTGAGTTCAAACCCCAGTTCCACCAAAAGAAAAAAAGTCAAGTTTGATGAAAACTCTGAACCCAAATAAGCAGTGAACTCCAAGCAGAAGGAAACCAGAAGAGAACCAAGCAAAGACATATCATAATCAAGTTGGTAAATATTGTGTTTAAGAAAAAAATCTTAAGATGGCCAGAAGACAAGACACACATGAAATACATAGGAAAAATGATAAAAATGATGAAACCACCCATTAGAAGGGAATGGAAAGAGGTATTTCTTTTTCCTTTTTTTTCTGTTTTATTAGCATATATTCATTGTATGGGGGGGGATTTGTGACAATTCTGAATAATCTTACATTGTACATTGGTTAGATTGCCTTCTCCATCCCCTATCCCTACCACCCTCTCCCCTTCTCACTTAAAGCAATTACAATAGGTTTTATCATTCTATTTCCTTTATGTTTTATTTCCATCAACCCTATTGCTTCATCTTCATCTCCTCCATGCATCCCCCCTTCCCACAAGTACCCCACCCTGTGCCTGTTTTACAGTCTTGTCTTTCAGTATTAATTAATTCAAAAATTGATCTTCAAAGGGGTTTCTCAATGTATCCCAGCTGTGAATATGCTTTGTTACTCTCTGACCTCTTCCTTCCCATCCTCCACTATTGCAGCTTTTCAGTACATATCGTGAAGTCCTCTACCTGAGCAGACGTGAAGTACTTTAATGTTGTTGACTATCATTCTCTTTTCCTTCCCCCTCCCCGGAGTTCCGTAGCATAGTTGCACTATTGCCATCTGAAAAGACGTGTGTGTTATCGTGTTTGTTTGTGTATATGTTTGTCTTGTGGCTCAATCTTTCACACAGGAGAGAAAACATGAGGCTTTTGTCTTTCTGAAAGTGGCTTACTTCACTTAACGATGTCCTCCAATTCTATCCATTTACATTCAACCACATAGTTTCATTCTGGAAAGAGATATTTAAAGGGGAAAAAAAAATGCCAACCTAGAATTCTTTGCACAGCAAACATCCTCTAATAATTGAGAAATAAAGACTTCTCAAGGTATTCAAAAGATGAGAAAATTTATCACTGAAAACTTTCACTATAAGAAATGTTAAGTTACTCAGACAAAAGAAAAAGAAAAATGATCAAAAAAAAAAAACAAAAACCTGGACCTCTACATAAATGAGCGAAGAAAGTCAGAATTGACAAGTATGTGGGCACACGCAATCGACTTGTGCTCACTGAAAATTTTCCTTAAAAGATAATTTTGTTTTGGGTTGGATATGTATCTCAGTGGTAGAGTGTTTGTCTGGCATGTGCAAGGCCCTGGGTTTGACCCCCAGCCCACCACCACAGCAACAGGTCATTGTTTAAAGTAGTTTAAGAGCAGTGCGTTGTGGGGTTTATAGAATGTGTAAAGTGCATGACAGTCGCACAAATGGAAGAGGGAAACAGAAACATGATATTTTAAGCTCCTAAACACTATGTGAATTGGCCTGTTACCACTTGAAGGCAGACTATGAAAAAGTAAAGATGTCTACATAAACCTGAGAGGCACACCCAGTCAGAACAGCTGTCATCAAGAAAATAAGTAGCAACAAATGTTGCTGAGGATGGGGGGAAAAGGGACCATGATATACTGCTGGAGGGAATGTAAATTAGTGCAGCCACTGTGGAAATTAGTATGGCGGGTCCTCAAAAAATGAAAACTAGTACTACCATATGACCTTGCTGGATCACTCTTGGGCTTATATCCAAAAAAGCGTAAGTCAAGATATGTCAGAGACACCTGCACACCCATATTCATAGCTGTACTATTCAAAATAGCTGAACTATAGAATCAGCCTAGGTGCCCAACAGCCAATGAAAATGTGATGTGTGTGTATACAGTGGAGTATTATTTGGCCATAAAGAAGAATGAAATTATGTCATGGTTTAGGAAAAGGGATAGAATTGAAGATAAGTCAAGCTCAAAAACACACACATCATATGTTTTTGCTCAGATATAGAGTCTAGACCTAAAATAAAAATGACATGAGTGTAAAAGAGGACTGTTTGGTGGGGAATGAGGGATGGGAAAGGAGAGGGGAAGGAGGTGAATATGAAGTACATTATATATATGTGAAAATAGCATAATGAAACCCATTGTAACTGTTAAAAAGGGTGGGAGGAGAAGGGGGTTTAAGAAAGAGTAACAAAGGGGATGAATTTGATCAAAGTACACTATGTGCATGAATATAGATATCATAATGAAAACCCTTTGTACAATTAATATATGACTTTTGTAATTTGAGTCAATTAAAAATGTGAACTCAAAAAGAAAAGCATATTAGAAGATAAAAAATAAAGGTTATGTGCAAAAGCAAAATACTTCCCCAAAACAAAACACTCCCAAACCATAGGGCTAATTCAAGATCTGACCTAGGATATTTTGGCATACTAGGTAGCCAGTGTCAACTCATGAAAGCGCTTTTCTTATCAACAAAAGAAGAAAATGCTGAACAACTGTCTTTCCTCACATCCTGTCAGAAACTTTGTATTTGAATTTCATCAGCAAGAATGGAATACTTCATTCTTCCCCAAGGAACCAAGTCTTTCCATACAGGAAAGCAGCCTTGATTTCCATCAGGTACCCAGTGTCAGATAAAGGGCTTGGGTTGCAAAATCTCACATCTCTCTTAATTTCCTGCTTTCCCCATAGTTTCTTTGCTGTGCAGTGCCCTTTGCTGCAGCAAATTAATATATCTAGCAGGTGGGTCCTCTGTGTCTTTATAAGATGGGCATTCTCCCGAGGAGACCATCAAAGTTACTGGGGTATTGAAGACAACACTGAGGAGCCATACGGAAGAAGATCTCCCTAGCCAAGGATGGGCAATTTGAGAGCCAGTAAGAATACAGATTGTTACAAATGAGGATTATCAAAAATGTTTAAATCCATGAGGTTGGAATGACATTAGAAGGTACAGGATCGGGCAGGGTAGCTCGAGGCCTAAAGTGCTGGGCAGGCGTGCTGGCGGGCGGGAAGCTTTAGGAAAAAACCATTTTATTGCAGGGTCATAAAGAAAAACCACCATGCACTTATCCTGTCTTTCCTGTATACACTGTGCTACTGTGGAACCAGAGAGCAGACAATGAGGAGTGTCTTTTTATGTGAGTGTTTCAGCCACATCACTGAATATCACCATTTTGCAATGCCCAAAGAATTACTGGATCTAAACTTTAGCATCAGTTCTTGTCATTAAAAGAGACAACCCAAGATTAGGTGTCTCCTGATAAAAAAGCATATCACCACCAAAAAATTTTCCAATAAAGGTATAACTATAGCCCAATCAAACCTCCAGCTCCAGGTTCCAGGTCAGGGGAGTACTGTGAATTTCACCTTGAGTATGTGCTGTGGGAAGTTATAGGTCAGGGACCAGGTTTTCCAGTAGATAACTTGTAAAGACAGGGAAGGGATGAAGATGGAACCACTAAGCTAAAAATTAAAGAAACATTAAAAGACACATTTAAAAAATGGTTGTATCTAGGGTGTACCCCTGGTAAGGAGATCAGAAAGAAATGCAATTAGGGCCAGAGTGGTAGTGCACACCTGGGAACTCAGCTTCTTGGGAGGTGGAGGTAGGAGGATTGCAGACAAAGACTAGCCTGGACAGCCTGGACAATAGCGTGAGACCCTATCTGAAAACCAACTAAAAGCAAAAGGACTGGGGTTGTGGCATAAATGGTAGAGTTCTTGCCTAGCTAACAAAAGGCCCTAAGTTCAGTCCCCAGTATCACAAAGGCAAAAACAAACAAACAAACAAACAAAACCCCAGAAATGCAAAGACTTGATTGCTGAAAAGGTCAGGATATTCCTTATTTAGAGGAAAGAGAGAGCTGAGAAGAGGGGTGTAGGTGGAGGGACTTTTGGGGTGACTGCCCATGTTCTGTTTACTGCTCACTCAGCAAGCTGTGCACTTGATAACATTGATTAAGCTGCACACTTGTCTGATGTGTTTTTCAGTATCCATGATTCTGTGTTTTATTTTAAAGAAGATAGGGAAAAACCCATCATTTGACAATGAAGTCTCAGTTTTTAATTCAAGAGAGTCAAGATGGTGAGAGGAGAAAAGGTACACTTTGTTTCAGCCTCTTTGGAGGCTACTGAGCAGCAAGTGACGTATCTTAAAACTGTACATAGACATATCCTCGTCCATTCGACCACCCCAGGGAAATGCTCACACATGTAGACCAAGATCCTTTACCCTTGTCCTCAGGGAGCTTCCAGTCTAGTTCAGGGCAGGGGGAGGAAGAGACATTAAAAAAACAGCTGCTCAGATGCGAGGTTAGCTAGGGTGTGATGAAGGTTACAAAGAAAGGTCTTGGTGCTGTGAGAGTATAACAGTGGGGTGGGTGACATGGTCCCTCAAAGTCTAGTCTCTGTTGGGCTTTGCATATGTGTCCTGAGTTCTCACAATTAACCTGAGGGTAAATGTGACAATACTTTGGAAAAATTGAAAGTGAAGAACATTTCATTCCCCTTTCTTCATGAGAGTCTTTGGCTATCAAAGAGCAGAATTTCTGGGTTTTGGGGTGCTGGTGAGCAGCAGGTAGAATGACAGTTACTGCTCAGCTTGGTAGCCTTGGTAAGACAGTCTTTTTTTTTTGTGATAATTGGGTTTGAACTCAGGACCTTGCACTTGCTAGGTAGGCGCTCTACCACTTAAGCCATGCCTCCAACCCTTTTTTGCTTTAGGCGTTCACCTTCTCATGTTTATGTTGCCGTCCTGGATAGAAATCCTCCTATTTACACTTCCTGAGTAACTGGGATGATAGGTATGCATCACCACACCTGTTTTTATTTGTATTCACTAAGGTGCTCAGATTGGCCTCCCAATCTCTGTCTCCCAAGTAGCTAGGATTAGAGGCCTGAGCCACTGTGCCTGGCAAAACAGTAATTTTAAATATCAAAATTTATCCAGAAAGTTCACAGCTTTCCAATATTTGAAGAGCTCCTTTACATATTACTAGGTGAGTCTGATGGATTCAGACACAACCACCTCACCAGAAGCTACAGGCGGTGAGGGCCGAGGGTGCAGCTAAAATAGCTTCCAGTCAGCTCCTGTTAGCACCACCACATCCAACAGGAAGTAGCAAGGAAACATTCTTCTGATAGCGTCCTCGAAACTGGGAAGTTTAAAGTCACTTCCTGCTGACCCAACGCTCCACTTGAGCTTCCATCTTATTTCTGCCAGCTCAACAGAGACCCTCCAACAAGCTAGGGACAAAGGCCTTCTACTGCTCTGTCACTAGTGGCCTGCTGGCTGACTTGAACACCCAGAAGTAGAGAGAAGATCGTGAGAAAGGCCGGGTCAGGAGGATCTCTTACTGTGAACGCTCCAGGTGGTCTGGAGTAATGGCCAGAGCCCAGCCCTGACTCCGTGTCTCTGAGGACTTCTGGTCCTTGTCTTTGCATGAAGCTGTTACATCATGGGACCAACTCGGGGTTGGTGATGACTGAGGTAAGTGGCTGAACACCTCCCTCTCCTGTAGTATAAAATAGATCCAGAAAGTGCCCAGATTGACTCTGGCTAAGAGAAGAAAAGCTGTGATGAGTGGAGAGGCTGAAGGCACTCCCAAGAGCGACCCGAAATGCAAAGGCAGTAAGATAGCCTCAGTCTAGGGACCAGATGGGAGATTAGGCTGACGTGAAGGGTCAAGTCAGTGGGGCCCCCCAACAGGGCCAGGAGATTTTACCAGCCATGGGATTCGGTAGCAAGTGCTAACAGGACTCTTGCTGACCACACCCAGTGAGGGACATCATCCCAGAAGTCAGTGAGTATCTAACACAGGGCTTTACCCCACCTCCTCATGCTCCTGCGTCAGGACCTTTGCACTTGCTACTCCTTCCAGCTTGAATGTGCTCTCCCGTGTATCCACCTGGCTTACCCCTTACACTCCCTCAGGTCACAGTGGGCCAGTCCGTGAGAACTTACTCCCTGTGGTGTTTGCTATTCCCTGCTCTGCTCATTGTGCATCTGACAGACCATGTTTCACTCTTTTTTTTTTTTTTTAATTTTTTTAAGACAGGGTTTCATTATGAAGTCCAAGCTAGCCTGGAATCCACATTCCTCTTGTTTCAGCCTCCTGAGTGCTGGGATTACAGGAATGTACCACCACACCTGGCTTCATCAGTATTATTTTTTTTGGGTTCTTTGGGTCCTCCAGCAGCATACAAGGTCCAAGGGGACAGAGATTTTACTCATCTTGCTTTGTGCTGTTTTGGGCACAACTCTGCCTCCAGCACCTATCACAATGTCTGGGGCATGAAATCCATTTCAACCATATTTATTGAATGAACCAATTCATCAATTGATGGCGTATCAAGTTACTTTCTTCTAAACCCAGATGCTGCCCAGCAAGGAGAAGGGGGAACAGAAGAAAGGAGAAAGGTCAAGTTCAAAAGAGATTGCATTAGGGTGTCTCATGCCTACAATCCTAGCTACTCAGGAGTTGGAAATCATGATGATAGAGGTTCCAGGCCAGTCCAGGCAGAAAGTTAGTGAGACCCCATCTCAATCAATAAGCTGGGTGTGATGGTGCATACCTGTCATCCCAGCTATGTAGGAGGCTGTAAATAGCAGGGTTACAATGCTGGCAGGTGTGTGGGAGGATGCAAGAACCTATCTAAAAAATAAACTAAATCAAAAGGACCAGAGGTGTGGCTCAAGTGGCAGAGTGCTTGCCCAGCAAGTGCAAGGCCCTGAGTTCAAATTCCATCACTGCCAAATAAATAAATAAGTAAATAAGTAAACAAACAAATAAATAAGTAAAAGAGAGGCTGAAATAGTATGGAGACCATTTTGAATCAGAAAAGACAAACAGGTAACTGCTGAGTTTAGGCAGAGTCTCTGTAGAGCCTGTCCTGCCCTCCCTACCACCAGGATCTGAACCTGGAAAAGTTCAGATGAGTTATTGAAAATAAAGACATTGCATTTGTTTTTGTATGCCAAAATCCCAGCGTGTTCACTGCTCTCTGAACCTGCTGTTCCAACACACGTGATACTGTCAGCCTATGTTTTTGCTTTAGTTATTTTTCAGATAGAGTCTCATGGTTTTTTTTTGCCCCAGGGCTGGCCTCAGACCATGATCCTCCTACTTATGCCTCTACACCTCCTGCATAGCTGGAATCACCATGTAGTGGACCTGTGCCACTACTCCTGGTTTATAGATTGAGATGCTATCTCACTAACTTTTGGTCCTGGCTGGCCTTGAACCAAGATCCTCTGAATTTCCACCTCCTGAGTAGCTGGGCTCACCTGTCTTCCCTTTCTAATTTCTATTTGCTCTGTGGACCTCAGGCTGGGCTAGCCCCTTCCATGTGTACCCAGTCCCCTGGCTTTCCTCTGTCACAGCCTGAGCTGTAAATGCTATTCAACTGTCTTCCAGAGCATGCCATTAGTCTGGGTGGTCCTAGCTCCCAATACAGAGTTTCAGAGATGGCAACAATAAGGTGACTGTGATCCTCACTAAGCCTAGACCATTTTGGGAATGATTTTGCAAAAGGGCCACTATTTCCCTCTTTCTATCCTTTTTCACACACCAGCCACCTGCACAGCTCCCAGGGGCTGAGCATGGAGTGGGGGATGGAGTGGCAGAGGGAGGGACTCTGGATTTTGTAGTTGGTCCTAAGACTCAGTACCTGCTGCTGGCAAGTGGCCTCCACTGTGGGGCTTAGAATGGTGCCATCTTGCTGCTCTAGGTGGCTGGTCCTCTTTGCCTTTGGGATTCCCTGACCAGGCTCCAGTATCCACGTCCTGCCCCTTCTCTGAGGAGGTCCAGCTTACCTGGAGTGAGCTGGGACAAGAGAAGAAGCACAGCCAAAGTCAGTAGCAGTAGCTTCATGGCCGGAGACCTCCCAGGACGGAGCTGCAGGCCTGATGCGATGTCAAAGCCAGTGATGGGAGTGCACGTCACCCACATGTGCTCACAGCACCCACGGGAACAGCCCAGCACCCTGGGGCCGCTGTGCGGAGCCACACACCCCCAGCAGACAAGCATCCCTTTGTCTTTCAGGCCAGCAGAGCAAGGTCAGCCAAGCTCCAAGGTCCTGCAGTACAGTCCTTCCACCCAGCTCTGCACCTCAGGAGCCCAGGGACCGCAAGGGGCGTGAGGGACTGCCACAGAAGGGGTCACTTACTGGGCATTTTAGTCACTCATGCTTAAATATTAACAAATAAATATTATCAACCAAGTATCTTTTATGGAAGAGATCAAAACTGAACAGAATAAAAGTATTCATAGAGATTCTAAGCTTTGTAGTGGCGCATTCTTAAATAAGTAATTAATAATTAATTAATTCTTAAATATAAGTAAGTAGTTAAGGATTATTAGTCACTTGATTATTAATTAGAGGCAAACATCTAACATAAAACCAACCAACCAACCAACCAGTCAACCCATCAACAAGTTATAGTGACCCACAGGTTAGCCAGGGAGTTAGGAAGTCTGATGTCTGAGAATTATGGTTTGGGTGTTGATAAAGGAGTCATATCCTGGCTGGGGTTCATGCCTGTAATCCTAGCTACTTGGGAGGCAGAATCAGAAGGATCTCAGTTGGAGGCCAACCCAGAGAAATAGTTTGTGAGACCCTATCTCAAAAATAACCAACACAAAAAGGGACTGGTGAAGTGTCTCTTGGCAAGCCAAACCAGGAGATGGAGGAGACCCCTACCCAGGAGGGGGTGACTTCATCCTCCTTCATTCCAGTAAGCTAGCCTCTCTATCTCTCTTCCACTTGTTTCTTTGTCTCTTGTCTTCCCCCAAATCAAAACCAAACTGCCACACACTGTGGGCATGAATTGAGCATAAGTGACACTAAGTTGCTTGCTACTTGAAGACTCCCATGACAGCATGAGCGGGCATGGAGCAGGACAGGGTGGCATTAGACCTTTCTGCCCACTGCAAATCAACCTCCATGTAATGATGTAGGGACACTGAATATCGACCATGTCTAATCCCTGGGTCTCATCTGCTTTAGTTTTGTTCTCCTCTTTTGGTTTCTATCTCATCTGTCTCCTAATTTCTTTAGCACTGTATTTTTAGTGCTATTCCAATCTGATCACCAATCTTTATGGTTTGGTTTTTTGGTAGGACTGGGGTTTGAACTCAGCACTTCATGCTTGCAAAGCAGGCACTCTACCACTTGAGCCACACCTCCAGTCCTGTCAATTTCTTTCGCTCTTTTTTTTGGTCCCATATGCAAACAAAAGGGGCATTGGAAATGGGATTGCCTTCAGCTCTGAAGGGAGCTGGGCTCAGGCTCAGGGCAGCTATAGGTCATGTCTGACTGAGGCTGCCAAGGGCCCTCTATAGCCCCTCCACCCCACAGGGCCATCTAAATCAGAGGGAAGGGACCCTGGGTGACTCCAGACAGGCCCAGTTAGCCTATCCAGGTCCTTATCAATATGGGGCCTACCTTTTTGGTTTTACTCTCTCACCCTGGACCCTTGTTTTCCCAAACTTGCATTGTTATGGGGATGGAGGAAAGGCCTCAACAGTGGACGTTTATCCCTCCTCTCTGTGTCCTGGGGAGACCAAATAATCATCAATCAACTTGACTTTTGTACCCTAAGTTGCAGCTATATGGTTAACTTATAAAGATTTTGGGTTCTTCGTGTATTTTCTCCCATTTGTCCTTTTCTTGCTTGTATTAAGATAGTTTTGCTGTTCAAGGACATTGAGAAGTTGTTATCTTAGCCAGCCTTAGATGGAATGTAACATTTTGTAGCTCTTAGGTTCATGTAAGACCAAGGGAAAATGTGTGAAAGGGCCTTAGAAAATCCAAGTGGCAGATTTAAAAAAAAACCCAACAAGGTAGAAAGGAACCTGTAAGTAAGAGATGAGAAGATGTGAGAACATATTCTGGATGAGAAAGAAGAAAGGATTTTCTTCTTTTTTTTTGGTGGATCTGGGATTTGAATTCAGGGCTTCATGCTTGCAAAGCAGATGCTCTACCTTTTGAGCCACACTTCCAGTCCATTTTGCTCTGGTTATTTTGGAGATCAGGTCTCAGGAACTATTTGCCTGGGCTGGCCTCCAACCATGATCCTCTTAATCTCAGCCTTCCAAGTAGCTAGGATGATAGGCGTGAGCTGCGGTGCCCAGCAAGCACAGATTTTGTATGATAAAATAAGGTTTTGTCCCAAAGTAAAGGGTTGTTCTAAGGTGGAAATAGGCAGGTAAGGGCACCCTTACCAGGAGGTTGAAATTTTTTCATGTCACAGAAGGAATGTGGTGGGGTTTGATACAAAACCAATGCTATCTTGATAAGTGTATGGGAAACTTTGAAGCCAGAACAGCAGTAGACCAAGGCAAGGGAAGACAGAGTTGCATGTCACATACATGGTGCCTCCTGCACAAGACGCAGAGGAGAGCCATTGCTGAAGGAGCACTGGCAGGAACAGGAAGTACAAGGAAGGAAAGAAGTCTTGCCTTCCTCCTTCACTTTTGCAGCCTCCTTTTACTGCCCCTAGGAAAATTAAATGCAGAGTTGCAAGCCCAGACTGACAGAGCCAGTATAGATGGTTGTTTTCAAGCGGACATACAGAAACCTAAAAACGGGTATATTATTCCTTTAAAATTCATTATTTCTCCTAAGTATGGTCTGACTGGGCAGTCTTTTTTTTTGGTCTGGGCTGGTGTGGTTGGGACTGGATTGTTTAGAATGGAGTCATTCATGTGCCTGGTGGTTGACTTACTGACAGCTGTGGATGTTACGTATCGATGTGTCTCTCCTCTGTAGTAGTTACGCCCTGGTTGGCTCAGATGATAGAAGATTTAGCATGAGTGCACTGGCAGGGGTGAGGGGCTGGGACTTGATTTAATTTATAAGTACTTTTCAAGCCTCTAGTTGCACCCTCTGTTAATGTTGCATGGGTTTAAGCAAGTCACAGATGAGCCCAGGTTTAAAGGTCAGGGAAACAGATTCCATCTCTTGATGAGGGATGATCATCTTGGAAATTAGGGCAGAAGGTACAAAAATGTCTCATTATTAGCTGATCAAATTCAGGCAGACAGAGCTGGGCATGGCAGTGTGTGTCTATAATTCCAACATTCAGGAGGTTGAGGCAGGATCAGGAGTTCTAGGCTACATAGTGAGACCTGACAAGACCGTTCCAGGGGTCCTGGAGTGAATCTTAAGCCTTTATAGTAATCAGAGAAAATCTGTGCTTCAACTATACTAGGAGCACACCCAAAGAGGGATTGTTGGTTTGCAAGGGCCCTGTAGCACACTGGGCATGGGTATCAAGGAAAGAGGCTCAGACACCCCATGACTAACATGGCTTAAGACTCCTTTGGTGCAACCCTAATTTTCTTGGTCCATGTTGGTGCCAAAAACTTGGACTTCTGCAGCACTCCATTTATGTGCCTTTCTGGTGTCCAGGGAACCACAGTATTGAGGATCAGGTTTACAGCTTATGGCCTCTAATCTGCTCATTAGTGATACTGAGTCCTAGAGAAGGGAAGTGACTCCTCCAAAGTCACACAGCCGCTAAGAGGCACAGCCGGGTCAATGAAATGAATATTTTGAACTCTGCCTTCTCTTGTCATCAATGCTTAAATCCTTCCTAAAACTGAGACTGTTTAGCAGTGGGGCCTTTTCCCTTACAGAGAAAATATTGGATACATTCTCCTGAAAGTCTAATGAGTGTCCTCTTTTTCCCCTCTGCTCCCAAACTGAAGGTGTGCATTTGAGAAGAGGAGCTGGTCTAACTTGCGTTGGAGCCACAACAGGGGGGATTTCTAGCCAGGTAATGTAGGACTTTGTCGGGCATGGTAAAGGATGTGATGTCAGAGGATTTTAAGCTGGGGTTTGAGCAGGGCTGACATATATTTAAGACAATATCGCCTGGATGTTGTGTGACTTATTCTTGCAGGTCTCTAAATGGCAAAAGTGGATGAAGGGAGGCATATCAGCTCAGGGAGGTGTGGTCCTCACTGTGGATGTGGAGGCGTTGGGATGGTAACTGAATATGAGGAAGGCAGGCTGTCCAGGGCAGACTGTACCCGTGGGCAGCTGAGGGGCATGTGTAAATGACATGTGTCCTAGTTGATTAGAGGGAGCCTAGAGTCCAGAGCTCTCACCCACTGTCTTGTCACCTCTCCAGAACTGAGAAGACTCTGTGGGCCTTGTGAAGTCATGAAGTCTTTCTTGCTGACTTTGGGTGTGCTATTGCTCTTCTCACAGGTTATTCCAGGTAACTTGGGCCTGCTCAGGGGAGGAGCAGCTGGTGGAGTTCTCTTGGGGCCTGGGCGGATGCCAGTCAGGTGGCAGTGAAACTCCACTGATCTGGGAAAGAAGGAGGGAAGGCCCTCAGATCCTGGGCTAGAACTTTCGCTACCATGCTAGCTCTGTGATGTTCCCAACAAACTACTTGGCTCCTCTGAGTTCATTTCTTAATTTTAGATGACAAGCTAGGTTGAGGGGTCAACATTGGATACACTGGAATTTCTGTATGTGGCAAAAGTAGCTTTATTTTCTTTAATTCATCTGAGCATTTGAGGAGCTTCTGTCCTGCTGGTGGGAAAGCTAGGAGTTGGCAAGAGCGCAGGGGCTGTGCATAAACTCAGAAACCTGCTATATACATCTTTTCTGATTTAAAATGGCCTCTTCGATCAATTCATTCTGATTTAGATAAATGTTTCTACTTTCACCCCATCCCCTTCTCCTTCCCATGATGGCAGCAGAATTTAGAAGACAGTGGATATATAATTACTTAGTTAAATAATTCATTCATCCAATACCTATTGTTGACAGGCTCCTTATGCCAGGCACTGTGATAGGTGCTGGCGATAATGCAGAGAATCAACCAAGTAACCAGCCAGTCAACCAACCAATCAAC